TCCCAGTGCCAGTGATTTTCTGGTTTTCTCTGCACAGGTTTTTATGGAAGATATATACCGTTAATGGTGACACTGGTGTCAGTAACAGAACGTGAGCAGCAGCAATGCCTGCGCTCTATTCCCAGAGTGTAGATAACTTCATAAAGAAAAAAGGTGGGTGGAGGGGAGGGGAGATCTGGATAATTTTTCTTGTCATTTGATTCACCACTGAAAAGGTCACTCCCTGTAAGAAGAGACAGTCTTCTCTCTGAGATGTCTGGGGGAGGAGCAGGAATGGCAGAGCCAAAATGGGGGGGACCCTTGCTACCATGCAGCTTTTGTGAGGTGGCAGAGCAGCCCTTCTGAGCACAAGGGCATGCAACGCCCAGAGTATGCATGCTGGCAGCTGATAAAAACAGAAAGGGTCCATCCCTTGCTCACGCTGCGGGCTGATAGCATTCACATCATACACCGTTTGTTACTAGGCAACTGATTAAATATACGTGCTGGTCCTTCAAGCAGTGCTTGCAATTAATTAACCAAACCATTTTCATTTTGACTGTCTTCCGTCCTCCCCTCCCCACCACCAACCACCTTCCCAAAAGCTGACATCTGACACAAGCGAGAGGGATTTGATGCTCCTACTGACCTGTGGTGTAATAAAACAAAGAATGGAATCTTTGCATAGTGGATGAGGTGTATATCTGGGCAGTGGACACCTCTGAGCACCACTGGTAGGTCCAGACAACAGTGGGCACAAGGAACAGACATTTTACTTTGCTTTGCCAGGGTCAATGTAAATTGAACTGTGAAAACCACAGGGCAGAGTCCAGAAAAAGTTCTGCTGGCAAATCTGTTTGAAGTGCAGTTGAATTTGAAGAAGGATGGAGGTTGGGCCTTCTTCCTTGGTTTTAAAATTGGTATTTCTTATCCCTAAAGTACTCATTCTCAAATTTAAAACCACTATGGAGCACATTTGCATGTGTACATATACAGACACACACATATATATAGTGATAAATATAAATATTTATACAGCTACTAATGTATGTGAGTGGTGTTAAAGTCCAGATGTCACCAACTCTAAGTGCACACTCATCTGTCATAGCTGTTACACTGGGACCCCAAAACCAGGCAGTCACTGCGCCACTGAGCTCACAGTATCTAAATTGCAATGACAGGCAAAGTGGAAGAAGGGATCTAGACATCAAAGGTTGTTCAAGGACATACAGGGGGTCAGTAGCAGGGCTGGGAATAGAAAATGGCTTTTGTTTTTGAGATCGTATTTTCTAATAAAAGAGAAAAAAAATCAGTGAGTCATCTCACCCCAAATCCTCCCTCTAATTTTGTAATACAGTTGTCATATTAAACTTGTATGAAATAGACTGGAATTACACATGGAAAATGGGTAACTACAAGGATCCTGGAAGATCTGACTGTTCCTATTACACTTGATCAAATGCAACTGTCAGCTGCTTTGGCAGAGATCACCTTTGATGATTAAAAGGAGAGGACTACATTACAAGAGGGTTTGAGCACGAAACCACTTGCTGCAATCCACAATTAAACAGGAGAGGCTATTGTTCTGTTTCTGACTGGGAACAGAGTTACAAATTTATTGGAGTTCACAGGCTTGCTGCAGAGCTTGTCTTTTAACAAATTGTAGCCCCATTCTGTATCAGAGCTTCCTACCCCGCTCAAAACCTCGAGTGCATTAAAGAAGCAATTTAGGGTTTATTTGAAGGGGGAAAAATAGAATGTCGAGTTGGGTTTCTTTCTTCCTTCCTCCCACTGGCTTTCTGCTGAGGAGGGAGGGATTTGAATCAGCAGATTCTCAATGGCACTGTCGCCTATCAGAGCTGGTATAGATTCAGTAGAAATGGGTAAGAAGCAAATAATGAAGCACAGACTAACTGACAATTTAAGGGTTTTTTTACACACTGGCCAGCAGCTGATTTGGTGTGAACCATCTGTGAAGCCACGCTGCTTTGTGCTGCCTGTGCCTTTGAGTCAGAACTGGAATGGTACCTCTGAAAAAAGCACTCTGGGTTTTTTACTCTTTTGAATGTGTCAAGGCCATTTTCCACTCCTGATGGGACTCAGTTACCTTGGCCTGCTTTACTTTGACTCTGGCCTCTCATTTTTTTGGCCCGTACTCCATTTTGAATTAAGTAGGGCTTGTGGCTTTTACCTGCCTTGCATGAGCTGGGTAAATCTGCATGGTGGCAAAAGCAGACCCCCAGCTGCAACCCTCTCTGCCACACATGCTCACAGCCTGTGGTGGTGACAACTGGCACAGGTTATCCCTTATGAGATAGCAGATTAAGTCCCTGAACTCCAAAAAAGGCATGGCTGCTTTCAGCAGCCCCTCCGAGTTGTGCACTCCTCCTCTTTAACTTTCACTGTGGCTTTGCTGACCTTTGAATGAGAAAAACATTAGAAAAGAGCAATTTCATGCCCTCATAAAGAGTTATATGTTACTAGGCAATAATGGAAGCAAAAACCAACCTGACCAACAGATCTCAGCCTCTCAGTGTCTTTCCTCTGCTTTCTTTAATGGTGCTGCTGCATTTTTAATTTACTTTGAGCTCGTCAGTGGCTGGAAATCCCACCCAGATGATGTGAAGATGGTTCACAGTGCCAGTACAGGCCCTGCTCCTCAGCCCTGCTAACACACAGGGGTGGAGGGAGAAAGTCAGAGAACACCTGTATTTCTTGCAGGTTTCTGCATGCTGCTCCTTTGCTCTTATCCTTATAATGATTTATATTTCATTGACTTGTAATTATACCCACTTTTTCTTTTTTTTTTTTCCCTGTTCTATCTCATCTTGGTTTTTCCATACCCATATATGGTCGGTCACCAGCCTCAATTTTTTTTCCACCACAATGAAGCAATAAATCCTGTGGGGCTGGACAGGAAGCCCAGCTTGCCAAGGAGAGACAGGATGAATATCTCCTAGAGACAGCCAGAGGTTTGAGTGTGTATTGTCCATACAGCATATTTCAAGGAGTGCCCAGGGCAAGCCTGGAAAAAGTTTTATGTCTGCAACAGTATCTCTTTATGGAAAAACAGATTTTAAAAAAAGCCCACTGTGTATTTTTTGCTCCTTTTATGTGTGTAGAATTCATGTTATATAGAAGTTGGTTCATCTCAAAATTTCAACTAAGACCTGTTTATAGTTGAAACAACTAAGACCTTTGTTTATAGGCAAAAGATAATTACATAGAAATGTCTTCTTTAGAAAATATGCATTTTCTGTCTCTTCAGCTATATGTGTGCATATTCCTCCAGTTGGAAACGACTTCTGGGATCTTACTGCTCCAAACACCTTCATTAAAAACACTGAGCAAGTTTCATTAATACTTTCTTGGGCTTCCAAGCATGTCTAGGCTCATTCATGTTTATGTTTCACTGCAAACATTGGTGAACTCTCTGATCACATGTTCCACCCAGCTGCTTGCTGCTTTAAAGACAGCAGAGATCCTGAGACACTGGGATATTGTAATGAAACTCAGATGAGCTCAAGAGAATGGTGGTAGATGCCATGCTAATGACACTGTGACTAATCTGCATGTTCTGTATGAAAATACATATTGTGGATCCCTTTTGAAGGAATCCTTTCAGTAAGACTCATGTGGTATTTGTAGTCCAGAAAATCCACTCCAGGTCTTGGAAAAATAGTACCTTGCAATAAGAATATGATGGTGTTCAGACAAAACACTAACTCTGCATGCAATGACATTGCTTTGCATCCTGACACAGTGGTGAAAAATTTCCATATTTGAGAAAGCACTGCTTTCAGATATGAAGAAGAGGATACCATTGTTGCTGCTAGTGTAAGTTCAGGGGAAACAGAAGCAGAAGCATTTGTGCCCTATTATAGCTGGCTACATTAATCACTATGTCATTCAAATTAAGCCACTTACTGACATAGGAGCTGGTTTGTAAACACCAGGAAAAGATCTGGGTCTTTGGTCGTCAGTACATGGGCAAATAGAATTCCCAGATATACACAAGTCTGGGAGTACAGCATCACTTAACTGTGCTCTCTTGCTTGCACACATACACAGCCACACTCCTAAAGGGTTTGCCAGTGCAGTGTAGTGTTGAATTATACAGGCTAACGCTACAAGCTAGCTCTATAGGAATTAGCTTGGGGACCAGAATAAGTCTAACGGCAGTAGCAGGATACATTAGTTCGCATGGCTGAGTCAGCTTGTCTGGCAACCACTATGATTAGAAGGCTTCTAGGATTAGATTGCTGGAGCTAAGTAATGCAAGCTACCTTGGGTCTTTCGGTGTGATATGGTGAATTGTGACCCCCTCCTCCCCTAGCCCCCACCCAGCAAAGAGCACTTTGCAGGACGCAGACTATACCTAGTGGCATTCAAGACCTGGATTCTTAATGGAATGAACTGGCCCAGCTTCACCATGGAAGTCAGTGGCAGAGCTACACTGATTTACACTGACAGACTCCTGGCCGAGATGTTTCAGTCTGTCAGTTGTACTTACCATGCTCTGCCAGTCTGAGGGGGCTAGTCATAGTCGTATTCCTTTTAATGATGATTCTGCTGCAGTTGTCTTTTTTTTGCTTGTTGCAGTTAAGGCCAACAGGCACTATTATGGTCTTCTAGCTTGGTCTTGCAATGATTTTAGCTTTAAGGGATAATTTTGAATAGCATTGCAGAAGCAGTAGCAGCTTCCTTACACTGCCAGACGTCAAGGCTCAATCCCTCAGTCTGCTTCCCCCATGTTTCAACCTGCAGAGTGTTATGCTAATTTTGCTTGCAGCTTCAAGTCAGCTGAATTTCCGGCTGGCTTCAACTTAAGCTGTTTTTATTTCAAATAAGGTAAATTACCCGCTTCAGCCCAGGGCTCAGTTTCCAAGCTTCCGTTATGCCGGTTTTCAGGCTTCACTTCCAGCAGCTCTGTATAATCCCTGCAGAAGGCATGTCCTCCGCTCCTCCTGTGCCAGGGACATGCTGCTTTGCTTGGCTGCTCCCAGGGCTGGAATCCTCCTCTTCCTCCTCCCTCTTCTCTCAGGACTTTTGGTCTGAAATCAACAGAAGTTATTTTTAACCTTTATTTAAGACACTTCTGCTAAGAGCAGCTTGCCAGTCCCTAGACCCTCCTCCCTGTTTGTCTCCAGACTTTGCAGAAGCTCCCATTGCAGAAATAGAAAGTGTGCTTGACAGTCATCCCCATTAGTGGCTACAATTGTGCAGTACACCTGATGGGGCTGAGAGCTCCCTAGCAGGCCCATGGCTGCCAGCTTGCCTTTCCTGAGGCTTAGAGGGCTTGTGAAAAATTCAGTAGTAACAAGACTGTGATGGTGTGAAGGAAATCCTAATCTGATACTGTAGGAGAAAGTAAAACCAGGAGCATCTGTGGAGGCAAACTTTGGTGGTTTGCCACGGAACCCAACAGTACATCTAGTCAGATTCCTCTAGCCATGGAGCCACCATGCACTTCTTAATATATCAGAGGACAGCCATTTCTGCCATTGTGCCTAAAAATCCTGAGACAGTTTCTCTCTAAAGGGATTACATTCAAATAAACAATCCAGATAAGTGAAGGAAAGCAAAGTACAGAGCGATGGGGTGGCTTCTTGTGGCCACATGGCAGATCAAAGCTGAGATATCAGTCTCCCTCACTACACTGATCTCATCAAGTGTCATGGCCCTATGGAGCAGGTTAGTGTATGCTCCTGCTTCAAGAACTTTGGGAAACCAAATATAAATGTAGAAGAAAACTGCATGAGGCATCATATTATAGCATAATAGCATTTCTTTTCTTGTTTTGTAGAGAGCTGACATTTTATGTGTTGTGTGTTGGCATTTCCTGTGATATTGCCACAGGCACAGGACTCAGATGGATTGTTCAGGAGCACATTAAATATTGCTTCATAGATATAACTTTGCACACGAATCTCTTTTATGCATGTGGGATGGATAGGCAAACCATCATCTGAGACAGAGATTGTTAAAATCCAAAAAATATTATTAAGGTGCTCTGCAGAAACTCCCCTCAATAAGGGTAATCCAGCCCACATTTCTCTATGGTTCACTCAAACATATCCTTTTTGGTGATATTTTAATCCCATTTTACAATACTTACATTTGTTTTGGTTCACTCTTCATATGTGCAGATAGTTCATTTAGGAATCCAGGATAATAGCTATAGTGGTGGATTGATCCTGTCCAGCATCCAAGCTCCCACACAGCTGCTTACTCACCCTTTCCCCCATAGCAGGATGGGGGACATAAGAGGAAAAAAAAAAGTGAGAAAACTTGTTTTGGTTGGTGAAGGAAAGAGAAAGAGAAAACCACAAGCAGAACAACCAGTCTCCAAGCACTGAACACTTTGGAAGCCAAGAAGTTCCTTGATCTTTCCCTATCCCTGTTTTCATTGCAAAGCATTACACTTTATGGCATGCAGCATCCCTTTAGCCAGTTCAGGTCAGCTTTCATGATTGTGTCCCCTCCCAGCTGCTTGCTTCCCTGTTACCTATTTGCTCCAGGAAGTGGGGACAAAGTGGGAAAAAGCAAAATCTTTGATGCTGTGCAGGCACTTTCAGCAATAGCTTAAACATTCATATGCTATGAACACTGTTTTTAACACAAACCACAGCACCATCAGGATTGCCATGAAGGAAGTTAACTCCATCCCAGCCAGGATAAGCACAGGTAACATTTTAAAGATACTCTGCTTCAGAGAATGTTATAACCATCTCTGAATCAATAGATAGAGGCAACAGGAAACATAGGATTCATAGGCACCTCCAGAGAACAGTCCCTTGGGTATGGGTTTGTCTCCTTTCACTTCCAATGCCAAGCTTTTCATTTCAATACCAAGCTTTCAGATAGGTGAAGTGAATTGAGATGACCCCTATTCTTCAGTGATCAGCCATGAGACTTTCTCCTGTTCTCTCTCTCTCTCTTTTGTTATGCTATACCTATGTGGTTGTTATCTGTCCCACAGCAGGTTTCATGTAGCTCATAATTTTACCTTTATATACAGTAACTTAAGTTAAAAGTTTAAGTCCCTCTTTCTCATATTTCTCCTCAGAACTCGATCCCAGAGGTTAAAAACATATATTTTTCTTTTAGTAGTGTGTATTTTTACTGAGCATGTCTTATGAATACTTCTTGACCCTGGATCCTACCTTCTCAAATGTAGAGTGCAGCTTCTTTGCCTAATGTTAAAAGTGACCAAAAACCTGAGATTGAGCAAAAATTCTCAACTGTGATAACTGTTACCCCCAAATAAATATTAATTTTTAAGGATCAATTCTTAACAAAGACAGCTGTCAAAGCCCAATAAACCAAATTACAGTGCAATAAAATATATTTCATAACTCTAGTTTAAATATGTGCCAAAGCTTTTATTGTGTAACATGGAAAGAGAGAGATTCTATTCAGCCTTCTTGGTACAAGAGAGATATTCATTAAATTTATCAGATATATGTTTTACCAATATAGCCTCTGATTTCTCAGGCCCCAGAGAACCTTAGCACGAAGAACAGAGGCAGAAGAAACACAGCATTATCAGACCTTTTGGCAGCTCCTTTTATTGCTTCTCCTTTGAGCAGGGTGGGCTGAACCTAAATTTGTCTGGTGACTGGCCTGGTGATAGCCAAGGCAAAAACAGGTCATGCCATCTGCTAATATGAAATCACAGGACTGTAGTCTTTTCTTTATTGACTTGTTGGGGTTTTTTTTGTTGTTTTTTTTTTTTTAATTTAAAAAAAACCCTCTTTTTCATAAGTTTTTCAAAAAGACTGATGCTTTCTCAACCACCACTGCATGGTCAGGAGTCAGTTCCCTTGAGCTGACTGTACAGATGCATGATTTATTTGGGGATGTTTAAAAAAATTCAAAACCTGCCCACACACATAAGTAGTTTGTAGTGTTCTTTACAAAGTGTTCTTCTCCTGCGTGTGCTTAATTTCATTCACTATCTCAGTTCTCTTAATTTTTTCATCCTCTGCAATTTTCCATGACACAAACTTTGTCACCTTTGCTCTTCACCATGGCCTTCAAATCATTAATAAATATACCAGGCATGTGTCATATTTTTAATCTTGGGGGTACCCTACATGGAAGTCCTTTCCATGCTGAGATAGACCATTTGTTCCTCCTCTTTGTTTCCATTCCCTCAGCTGTGGGCTTTTTTTCTCCCCCTATCCATGCAGGACTTTACCTCTCACCTTGTGGTTACTAAGTTTCCTTTATAGCCTCTTCTCAGGAACTTTATCAAAAGCCTTTTGAAGGTCTAAATAAAACACAGACACTGGTTGTCCTTTATCCACTGTTTTGTTAACTCTTTTAAAGGTCCTGAAGAGGTTTGAGGTTTCTTCTAAGACAGAGGTCATGCTGGTTTGTCCCTACTGTATCACCCTCATCTACTGCTCCTGCTTTATAAGAATGTCTAATGACTCCCCTGCACCAGGAGTGCTGCTTAAGAACAGAAAGCAGAGGGAGATACTTGTCTGTGGAGACTTTTCCTTACAGTGTTCTAGCTGGTTGGTTTATGCAGCCTTTAAGCCCTGAGGTAAGGAAACAGGAAAACAGATTAATAGACATAGCAATCTCCCCCAAGATACTTCTAGATAAACACAGCCTTGGGCATTTAGAAAGTCGGATTTATTGCACCTTAAAAGAGGTTCCTGAAAACCACGGCTGTTTTATTTTAAAGTATGCAGCCAAAGGCATGCACTTCTTTAATCTTTGCCACTCTTTCCTGATAGACAACCAAAAGCACAGGTCCCAGGGTTTAGAAACAGTTGTGTATAAACTGGAAACAATCTCAGCAAGCCTTTAGAACAATGAAGATCTCTTTGGGGGCACTGAAGTGGATTTGAACTAAAGCCAAAACACATTTCCAGTGCGCAAGCTGTACAGAAACAGACACAAATGCACAATTGATATTGGTAGGGTAATATAATTGCCAACATTTTCCTGGAAAAATGAGAATGCAGACAGTGATGTTTGAAGGTAGGTGGTTTTTTATGCTCAAAACAGCACTGAAGAGCAAACCCAGGCCTCAGTGTTTGGCTGGCGCTGGAAGTCTGGGATCCCAGCTGTGACCCTTGTTGCCTGCAAAATGGCATTACCAGTGCACTCACTTCTCATCACTGGTTGAATGTACCCCAAGATCTCAACATCTACTTGCACTGTACTGTTGATACTGGGTGGGTTGCATATGCCCAGCTCAGTTGCATACACCCAGCTCAGTTTAAGTATTTACTTTTGGGGACCATTGGAATTTTTCATTCATTTCAGCTGAGCTACAAGTCTTTGAAAAGATGGCTTTTCCAGTCAGCATTCATATCTTCCTTTACCTACATAAAGGCAGGAACATGTATTTGTTGATTTGCTTTTGACATGCGAAGGAAAGGCTCATAGTCTGAGTTACTCTAATTTTGTAATTTTTTTCCCTCTGTGTGATCCCATTCCCTCCCTTCCCTCAGTTCCCAACAAACAGGTAAGTACTGTAATCGGAAATGCTCTGACTCCTCAAAAGTCTCCCTCCTCTTAGAGTTTGAGGTCTATAGCATTTTTTTAGGAAGATAAAGATAATAAGCACCCACCACCATGGGCTTATGCAAGAAGGGACTAATTTATACCAATAAATAAATAATTATTCCATGCCAGCTTTATAATTTACTAATGAAACTCTGCAGATTCTTTTACAGATCCTCTGACTTTTGTTGCTCCTTTTTGACCATGAGCATCTGTGAATTTTGGGTGCTCCCTTCCCCTTAAGGGTGGGACACCACAAAAGGTATTTTTTTTACTTGCTAAATGTAATTTTTGTTACTTGTGAAAAGAAGGATTAAGCTCAGGCCTCTGATGCTAAGCTGATCTGGATTTTAAAAAAATATTCCAATATCAATGAGGTTGATCTCAGTTCTGAAAGGAACTGCTGGTCCCTCTGCAGATGCTGAAGGCTGCTAGAAAACTATAAACCCAGCACTGCTCATAGTCATAACTGCTAAAATGAGTACCGTAGTTCTGGGACTAGAACATGGGTGTTATAAGATTATCTTTTTTTCAAACTGATTCCTGCCTCAGACACAACCACCTGCGCATGTAAAGGACACCCACACGTGCAGAAGAAACCTACTGATAATGTGTGCTAGGGATTGGGGCTAGCACTTAATAATATCTTTTGTCTTCCCTTACAGTGTGTCTTCACAAGCCTCCCTGGATACTCCTTGTCCCCAGCATTTGGATTTGGCTTTTTCTGCACTGCCTGAAGCACGGTTTGCTCACGCTTAGGTGATTTACTAAAGGCTGCATAACCACTTGGAAATATGCAAGGCTGTTTTTGGCAGTGCTGGTGTAGATATTTCAGTGCCCAGCCTCAGATTGATAGTGTTGTGCAGGGAAGAGAAGGCAGCTCTGGAAAACATTTGAGTTCAAAAGGAAGAAGAATCTCTGTAATCACTCAGGCTCTCAGGAAACCCAAGACTCAGTGGGACAGTTTCCTCACAGTTGGGACTGTCCCAGAAAATCAGTGGCATTTGAAAGCAAGATCACAGCCAAGGAAAGCGCAGCAGTGATGGAGAGGGCCCCAGCCAGTGAGTGAAATGGCTACTGCCTCTGCCACAGCCAACAACTGGCAGGGAGACTTGGGGTTCAGTATTCCAGAAAGAACAGCATATTTAGCAATGTCACCTTTTCTTTTTGAAATATCTGTGAGGGTTTGGATCATATAATCAGCTTTTAAAATGAGTGTGGCGCAAGGAACTATTTGAAGTCTCCTCAGATTAAATTCAGGGCCTGATCTGGCAATTTCTTGCTTTCTTTCTTCTCCTTCTCCACCTCTCTAAATATACATATCCTGACTGACTCCTATGAGATTAATTTAAACAGAGCAACTGCTGGATTAGACCTTAATCCCTTTTCCATCCCTTTAAATCATCCTGAACGGCGAGGGATTGCCGTGTGTTCCAGCGCTGGCCTAAGATTCATTTTATTCTGGCATCTTGTTGTTTTGCATCTGTTTTCTGTCTTTTATTTATTTTTTTTTTTTTTGGCAAATTCTGTGTCTTCAGTTGTATTTGTAACTTGCAATCGTACCAATATGGTCTGGCAATGGCATTTGTCTTGAGGGTACTACTTTTCCCCAGTCTTGCTCTGCAACAGCCAGTTGATTCTTATGAAACATCCCTCTCCCATCCGCCTGCCTCTGCTCGGCAGCTTCACGGGGTGTGAACTTTGAAAGGCTCAACTCAGATTATCCACATTTAAAACCGCTTTTTTCCAGCAGAACCCCCTCCCCCCAACCAGCCACTAGCTGCCCAAATAGCGGAGGGTGGGCTACTACACAGAAACCTCTTTGATACTGGAGTTTCGGCTAGGGAAGCGGCCGTCACCTCCCAGTCCTCAATCTGGGAATCAAGTTCAACGGGAAGCACCTCCCCGCACAGCCTGAGCTGCGGCGGCGGGACGGGCACAACGCGGCGACACTCGGCCCCTCAGAGCAGGCAGCCCCGCTCCGTGCAGCCCGGCTCCGTGCAGCCCCGCTCCGGCCCCTGAGCACTGCGCAGGGGCG